CCATAATAACTGGTGGTGGAATTGTACCCGGATCAAAGAAATAAAATTGTTTCACCTGAAAAAAAAAGAAAAATTCAAACCAATTTCAAATCTCGAGAAATTTAAACCAATTCAGCACCAAACCTATTTCTTCAACCATCACAGTACTAATTTTTATGCAGAACTGAATAAGGATTTTTAAAAAAAGTCAAAACGCCTCCACAATTGCTTTCTGCTAGAGGCAGAGGAACTTCAAAACTGCCTGAATGGTAACGCATATGCCAAAAGCAACCACTCGTTGGCAAAAGTTGTCGACTACTCTTTCTTTCGAGGGTTTCTCACAAGCAAGCTAACAATAAGCTTAACACCCTGGCACGCATCAGTACCAATTTACCATCGAAACGAATGAACGAATCACAGAGGGATTGGTTGACCCAAAACGAAGTACCTCCCCCCTCCCCCCTTCCTCCTCTTTCCACCCTGCCCACGCTCCCTTCCGAATCACTTTGATGGGTGAGAAGAGCACTTCACAACATGTGGTTTATCCAGACTTAAAAAATCAGAAATCTAGTCCACCAAAAAATGAAAATTACAAGAGAATCAAGGAAATAAAACGAAGATCATGCACAAAAAATGCTTTTACAGTCCAATAACATTACACTCCTCCTACTAAAAAGCGAAAAATCTTGTTCGTTTATTACGAATAACCAACCTTCTCCGCAACAACTTTTTCGGTAAGTCCACCAGCCACCATTTTGGCCATTGTTTTCTCCTTACTCTGAGCCTGACGAGCCAATTTGGCGCTACCGTGGCCAAATCGCGCAATATATTCCTGAAAAATACAAATTTCCCCAAAAAAATCAATACGATAAAAACAAAAAAAACATGAACGCACAAAGATGACAGGAGCTTAATTTCACAATTTCGAAAGACTAGGAAAATATTTATCCAAGATTATTCATAAATTCACAGTTTGGGTACAATTATCCGGCAAATTTGGACTGGCAAAACGCCAAAACTATCACTAACCTTCATGTGTTGTAGCTGATCCTGTTCCCATTTGTAACGCTTCATTTGATTCTCGAGAAGTTCTGTTCGCGTACGTACGTACGTATCATAATTACCCTGCAAAGATAAATATTCAGAGAAAGCTAAGAAAAAAAAAACTTATTTCAAATACTCATTTCACCCAATAAACTGAAAATACTTAAATAATCTCAATCCATCAGACAGCTCATTTCTAAACCGACTATTTGAATCAAAAAAAAAAATCGTAATCGAAAAATTGACGAGTGATACGAAAAAATATCCTGGTCCACTGAGTGATAAATACTGTTTCGAAGCGATAACAGCACCTCATCAGTATGATAACAGCAGCTTGGTAAATAAAACGATTGACGAGAAAATAATGAAAATTGTGGAAATATACTACTCTATAAGTTAGTTCCTAGCCAGAAAAGTACCTCATCTTGATCTGCAAATCGCAGCATTTGAAATAAAGTGGTGATTTTTACAGGCGGATCCAAGACAAGTTCTCGAAGAATGGAAAGGGAAAACAGTTTACTTTAGTTTTAGCTTCAGACCCGAACTTTTGCACTACAGGTGCTGCGCTGCTAGAGGAATCCAGAGGACCCATGCTCCCCCTCCCTGCCCCCCGTGGATCCGCCTATGACGATGTTCAATACACACTAAGCATATCTCAAAACGAATAAAGTCTTGCCAAAGTCTTATGTCGAGAGAACCAATGGACAGAAATACAATGATATCTCGTTCAGGAAAAGAAAAAAAGTCAAAATCGGCAACATAATGATCAGCAAGTGATGAAGCATTGATCAAAGCAAATTGAAAAGTAGCTCACTACGGAACGAGTTTCTAGCTTTTCTTGTTCTCGAATTGAAAGTGGGTGAAAAAAAAAGCGAGCATACAGACAGGCACACACACACACACACACACACACACACACACACACATATATATATATATATACACAAGCAGATTCAAAAATCTCATGTAAGTAAAACTCATTGAACTGAAACGAAAAAGGCGATAAAACTTCTTCATTTAAATAAAAAAAAAATTTTTTTTCTTATCCTCCAAAAAATTTTCAACTTACCCCATAATATTCGAGCTTCTTCTGGAACAGATGGATGATGTTGGTGCAAACACCATTCATGAAATCTTGTGAATGTGAAACAATAAGCAGTATCCTTTTGTATCTGAACAGAACTAATCATTATATAAGCGGAAGTTAAAAGACTAAAATTTAAGCAGTTACTGGAAAGTAGAAAGCACTGAGAAAGGCCTGAAAAGCCCCACTTGAATGCC